CAGGGGCGCCCCGGGCACCTCCGCGTGCCTCCGCAGCCGCGGGGGGGGGTTGGCACCGAGAAACGGTCTGTCTGCACACGCCAAACAAGAGCGGGGCAAAATTAGAGGGCTTGACTGTATCCTTACGTTGAATTTAAACACGGGGAACACAGCGTTTAAATAGTCAAAGTGTGTAGTGGTATTTCCATTTTTTAAACCGTTCCCATCAAGCCAGCTGCAGTGCTCAGCGTGACAACCGTGATGTGCTTGCCCGCTTGCCTAGTCAGAAGGTAAAGGTACTGTTGCATTGTAGCAGTTAAGGATTGCTTCACTTTTCCACTTGTAGGGTTTTATTTTTTCTTCACTGTTCATCTTGGTTGCATTTGGTACTTCGGAAGATCTTTCACTCAATATCTTTTTTTTTTTTTTTTTTTTTTCCTTGAAGGCATGTCAGAAGATTACACATGGAAAACGCAAAGCCAAGAAAACGTCTTTTTTTTTTTTTCTTTTAAGTATTACAGAATAAGGAAATACAGCCCGCATGAAGTTGCCTGTGCCATGTAAATGCTTTGAAGTTTTGTAATGGCAGAAGATACGTCTTCAGAAATTAAAAGACCCCGAATAACTTTGTCACTCAGTAAAAATAATAAAAAAAAAGGAACAACAAAAAAAGCGGAAGGTAAAGGAACACCATCTATACCTCCGACATCCTCCTCTATTATTTCCTTTTTTAACAATGTTCCCCCTGCCAAAATTACCTGTCCCATGTGTGGGCAAATGGTGCCAAGATATGGAATAAATGAGCACATGGATGAAACATGTCAGAGAAACCATGGTGAGATTGGCATCATTGATTCAGCGTTCAACTCTTTTAGGAATGATACTCCCCCAGCTGGAAATGTGAACAATAATTCCAGCCCATATTTTTCAAAAAACCTCTTAAATCTAGAAACAAGTCCTCCCAAAAGCAGTTTACTGAAAACAGAAGGGAGTGCAGCACAACAGATTAGTCCTTATTTTAGCAATAACAGTTCAGTCTGTAGTGTTAACAATGAACCACAGGCTCAAACGATTAAAATGATCTCTTTGGGAAGCCTGTCATCTAAACTGTCCAGAAGACGTATCCAGGGAAGAAAACAGATTGTGTATAAAGAGGTCGAGTCTTCACCTCCAGCTGTTCACAATATGTGCAAAAGTGCTGCAGCACAGGATGATGATGAAGAGATTTATCTTGGGCATGGTTCTCAGAAAGAAAATCAGCTTGCTTGGAGGGAGCACCAGGAACAAAGCTTTTCAAAGAAGGAACCTGAATTTCAAGAAGAAACAAAAAAATGTGATGGAGACGACCTTGTGGATATTGTTCCGGTATCATTACCAGCTGATAACATTAATGCCAAAAGGTTACCATTTGGTACAAGGAGCACCAAAACAGAAAGTAGGTCTGAAGGTGTGATACTTAGTCCTGATAAATTTGAAACACATCTAGCCATCTGTACTTCAACAGACCTGACCAATAGTTTGGAAGTCAAGACTCAGGCTCACACTCAGTTTGTTCCTTCTTCCAAGAGAGAAGTGAACTGTGGTACACAAAATTGCTTGAGCAAGGGTGATGTACAGGTACTTCCTGTGGAAGTTCATGAAGACTTTAAAGATGAGATTAATCATACTTTGTCAGAAACTGTGGAAAAAGTAGAATTTCAAAATTCCATTGGGGACATTTTAGACAAAATAAATGAGGTTAGCTCTGTGCCCAGCTCTCCTGGTCACCCATATTACCTCCAGAATTTTTTAGTGGTGCTGCGAGCAGTATTGGAGAATGAAGATGATGTCAGACTGTTTGATGAGCAAGATATGAACATTATAACCAAGTTCTGCAAATTATCAGGTATCTTTTTTTTTTTTTAATATACTGTCACGTTACCTCTTATAGACAGAACTTTTACATAGTTTTATGTGAAGAGTGCTCTACCAATGGGCAATTTAACTTGATAAATTCCTTAAGGGAAAAAGCTCCTTTTTCTCAGGAGATGTATGCCTCAGTGGCTTCTTGTAGGTAGACTTTTCTAATGTTCCTTTAATGGAAGGTAATGATAAATAGTGGAAACTTGTAAGAAATAAGGAGAGAATGATTATGTATATTTCTGTTTTTTTGGAATACTTTTACTGTTTTAATGCTATTTTTCAGAATCTTAAGTTAACTTGCTGCTGCTTTTAAATGCATTTCCAAGGAAGGAAACTCGTAGCACAGAAGAAGAGTAGCAGTTAATACCAGGCTTTTGGTGATTATTACGTATGGGAATTCTACAGAATGGGATTATGAAGAGGCCTGTGCTGGATACATAGACCTTGAAAAAAATACTTCTGAAGTAGCGTTTGTGAGCTTTGATTCAGCACATTTAGAGATTACTTTTGTGCTTGGTGTGAATCCATGGTTATCCCTATGATTATTATCCAGAGTTTAGAATGCTAGTTACTAATTAACAGTCATTTTCTTGTAGGTTGCTTAGTACTTTTAACTCTCATTAATTTCAGTAGGAGCTACAATGTTGGAGATTTAAGCCCTCTGTATTTAGAGAAGATCCAAAGCAGACATGTTGTCTGAATCCTATACTCATATAAGTTTTACAGTAAAAGCATGGCAGAAACGATGCAAGTTAAAACTAACCCTCCAAATTTTTATGTACGTTTATAACTTGTCTTAAACTGTAATTAAGAGTGGTTTTACCAGCACTTGAGCTGCAAACTTGGAGCATCAAAATGGAAATAAGCTTATAACAACTTCCACAAGAAAATTTGTATCTCAGAGTACTGCAGGCATAACCATTTATATTGTTTTAAGCTACTATGGCAATATACAACTGCCTGACAAAGTATTTTTAGATGTATTCTGATATGAGCTCAGTTCATGCATCCGAGCTGAACATAGAAAAGAGACAGTTACATACATACCTGCTGGTAAAAATAAAAAAAAAAAATCAGAAGCAGGCTGAACTTACTAATGTATTGTGTTCATTGAGTTTGGCTTAACTAGCAGGCTGTAAAGTTTATCACGCTAAAGAATAGTATTTCCCTGTGTGAAACTGTTGTATATTTTGGTCTTTTTCCTCTCTGTAGATGATATTCATTTTTTCTGCACTAGTATACAACAGACTGTTTCCCCATTGCAAAGTGGAAGAAAACTGTTCTAGCTGTTCAGAGCGCTTAGTTCCTTAATGTTTGTTTCTATAAAGTTCCAAATGATATTCTGGATTGACACCACAGGACATTAGAAAAGAGATTATCAAGGTCACGACTTGTGATTAGCAATTACGTGAAATTTTTTCAAGGCCAATAGGAGACTTTCAGTAAGTGTTCTTCTAATAACTTGTATAGATGTGGAGAATAACAGAATGAGGTTAGATTAGTGTATATGACATCACAAGGTTTTTAATACAGGATACTGAGTGACAAAAGTGGAGAAGCGTTGGCTTGAGCTTTTTAGGAAGAAATATAGCCATGATAAGTAATTCACAATCTCAGTTCCTTAAAAAAAATTGAGTCAGTGCAGATCTGTTTCTCTAGAAACTTAAACTGTGGTGGAACAGTCTCAGAAATGTCTTTTTTGACTTAAGATGTTCTTCCAAAGTTTAGCAGCTGGAAAGGACCATATGAACACTCTTCATTTGCCCTAGTGGAAAAGTGAGCTGAGCTGACGCAAACCACCTTAAGAGATGGTTGCTAAAAAAGGTGAAGAAACTCCAGAGGAGGAAGTAGGGCTCTAAACTTACACAGGTGTTTCTGCAGTGGTTACCTGGTCATGGTTAAGCTCTTACAGATTATATTGTAATAGTTACAATTATGCAGTAACACCAAACATTTAAAAAAATTAAAGAATAATACTAACATAAGTTATGAGAATATTGTAAGTAAGATGAGATCATAACATAGGACTGTATTTGTCAGGGAGCAGCAAGAGCAG